CCGTTATACACCTCGTATATAGGGAAAATGATTTACACTAACTTCTACATCTTACAAATACCTAGATGTCGGAATCGTCGTGGAACCTGTGTCTTTTGTGGAAATTGCAATTGGCGACAACCAAAAAAAGATTACAACATAATCTTGCCTTGTGCAATGTGATTTTCATCGCGTGGATATTGGGCAGTTCGCGCAATCAATCGTACCTTCATCTCATTATCGGTCCAAAATCTTGTAATAGAAGTCGTAAAAATGCGTCATGTAAATGTGATTAAATTAACCACATTTAAGCGATACATGTCTGTATATGAAATTGTCAACCGTGTTCTTCATGTACAAACTCGAACATTGCGTCGAGACCGTATACTCTGAGCCAGTATACGCATATCGTCAATGAAAAGTTTAAATTAAATAACAAAACAAAGGACTCTTTCTAAACAAAATAAATAAAAATAAATATCGGGCAAAGTAAGAGTCAAATATTTTGTAACTTTTAAGTGAAAATTGTATCGTCGATAAATGTGCGTGTATAGATTTCTTGCGCGAAATTTATAATAAAAGATCAAATATAGAGTGTGAGTTAATAGTTTATGCTTTAGATAATATTGTAAACAGTGTGAAAAGTAAATGTACATTTTCTTGCTAATCAGAAGTAGGTGCTTAAAATTCGATTCAAAATTAATTAAATTAAATTAAAGTTCCTGCTTATAAATATTGTAAGAACTGTATATTGTAAAACTGTATTATATTATATAACGTTATATTACAATATATAATATAATAAAAAACTATATTTAAACTATATATCTTGGTGTATGACATTATTCATTCCTTTCTAATTATTGCAACGCTGTCATATTATGCGCGTTGTCAGCATCTTTGCGCTCAATGGTCCTGTCACGCTTGAATTAAGCGTTCGCTCTATTTAAATCTTTAAATAAAAAAACGCATAATAAAATATTTTTGCGTGCGAGAAGAAGATTCAACGAGAGTAACAACGCGGTGGGAAAGATAACGACACATAAGAGGAAGAGAGATAGTAAGTATGCGGTAGGTGCAAGTCTTTGTTACCGATGCATTTTTGGGAAGGGCGGCGGGCAGTGACGGTGAAAAATACGAAAAGCAGTAGGTATACTAGGCGGGTTCTAACCCATGAGGCTAGAGGAAGCCGCGGAGCGCGGGTGATAATCGTGAGCACGGGAAGAGGAAGGCGCGGTGGAAGGGAAGGGGAAGAGCGGGAAGATCCCGGCGCTATCGGTGTGTACCGATATCAATGATACATGCCGCCATGTTGTGACGTCACGTATCATTAGGAACCGTTATCGCCGCCACCCCACACCCCGCCGCCACATGTTCGAGCGGACATCATCATCAATGTAATGTGATACAAATATCACGCGACCAAGTAAATGGTATAAAATGAGAAGATCAATTTTAACCTCCGAATTGCGCGCGTTTATTTCCATATTTGTTATTTTTTTTTTCTTACAACGGATAGGTACATATGGCATAGGATAGGTCGGATGAGAAGCAAAGAAAGTACTTATATGAGTGAGGTGAATGAAAAATTTTTTATTCACACATTATTACATCGTTTCTTTTTTATACGTATTAAAAACTAAAACCAATAAAAAATAAAATTTTGCAATCAACGAGCTGATGCTTGATAAAGATGTCGCTTATTGCGTCTTCGGACGCAATATTGGAGAATCGCGTATACTTGACATCGACCGTATCGATAAGTCGGTCTAATCGTTAGAACGTTACATCGATACATCCGTCAAACGCAAACATACGTCATAGCGTCGTTTCCATTGTAATGCGTACGGACGAAAAATCGAGATGTACGTAGGCTGCTGGAAAAGTTTCTGTATGAAAAAATAATATGAAAAAAAACATGTAAAATTCGGTAAATGGCTTTATTGTTTTTCGAAGTATTTGCCTTTAAGATCGATACATTTTTGCATACGCTCGAACCAATTTTCGAAGCATTTTTTCCACTCTAAGGCTGTAACCTCAGAAATCAGTGTACGAAATGTTTCAACAGCTGCTTCAGGCGACTCAAATCGCTCACCACGTATCTTAGTTTTAATGTTTGGGAACAAAAAAAAGTCATTAGGTGATAAATCAGGTGAATACGGACAATGAATCATCAATTCGATATTATTACTGGATAAAAAATCAACGGTTTGACGTGCTGTATGACAGCTGGCGTTGTCATGATAAAGGATGATGCGACGATTTCGGTTTGTTCTACGCAATTCATTCATGACTTTTGGCAAACAAATTGTTGTATACCAATCAGTATTTACAGTCCTTCAATCTTCTAAAGCCACGATTGTCACATGTCCAGTATAACCGAAGAAACAAGCAATCATTTGCTTGGCAGCACTGCGTAAACAAACAACTTTTATTGGTTTCGGTTCATTTTGAAATACCCAAACAGTGGATTGTTGTTTACTTTCGGGCTCATACGAATAAATCCATGTTTCGTCCCCAGTAATGATGTTGTAGACCAAATTTGACTGACCTCGGTTGAATTTCTTGAGCATTTCTTTACTCCATTTAACACGAGCCTGTTTTTGAACTTCGATCAAATTGTGTGGGATCCAACGACTGCAAAGCTTCCGTACGCTCAAATGATCATGCAAAATCGTATGTATTGCTTTCATGTCAATGCCTAAGGATGCCTGAATCTCGCGGTATGTTATATGCCGGTCTCGCTCAATCATTTCACTCACAGCATCAACATTAATGGCAACAACGGACGTGGATGGACGACCTTCACTAAGAATCAATTTATCACTAAGAAAGGTACGTCTACGCTGGTGTTCAGCAAACCAATTATAAACAGTCCTATTGGATGGTGCTTCATCCCCAAAAGCTAAATGAAGTCGATCGATGCATTGTTTCAAAGTTAGATTACATTTGTAATCGTAAAAAATCATTGCCCGAAAATTTTCAAATGAAATTTCCATTTTCTTACAAAATAATTTCTTTTAAAATACTATGCAAACAAAACTAGTTGGCTTGGGTACAAATTGTCAATTGAATTATAGATTAAAAACGTCTAATTTTACGGATATGATAGTAGCAGAACATTGGTGCCACTAGAAGTACTAGATTGCAGAAACTTTTCCAACAGCCTACATACAAGCGTAACATCGTTCAGCAAACTCTGATGGTTAGCGTTCCAATGCTTATAAAATTGTCTTTGTATTCATTTCGTAGCATCTTGTAAATATTGCTGCTCGTAGAAGCCCTTCCATGTTTCGAGAAACAGCAACAGTTCGGTCTGCGATGATCTCCCAGGGCGATCTCCACATAACTCGGTGGACCAACATTAATTCCAATTTCCAAATACTTGTAGCCCGTAGCCGTCAGATCGTAATGTCTGCTCAAAAACACACTGTGCGATGCTCCGTGCTGTGTACATACATTATGTTAAAAAACGTTTCTTTTGTGTATAGAACGTTGAAACTTACATATTACTGCAGTCCTGTTTCATTTCGTACGATGCATTGCTGTCTTTAGCGAAGTACATTTTCAATGGTTTGTACAAGCGGATATTGCAAGACTGATTGCATCCGCGTAAATTGCGATGTATATGGTAAAACTTCTAGAATTGAAGAAGAGGTAACCCCTTCAATCTTTCCAAGAATTGCGAACGATGTGACTCATTTTATCGCGTTTTTTTCTACGTATTTCTTTGTTCGCGAGTTTATTAATGTTTATACTTTATAGTTTATATTTTGATGGCACTGATGACGTTGATGATGAGCACGTTGACAACTTTGATGCTTTTTTACTAGGACATTCCCAATATCTGGCTTTTTCCTTCGATGCGGTGGACTTGGCGGACTTGGCAATAAGGTACTCCTTTCGCTCGATCGATTTTCGGCGTCTATATTCTTTTACTCGGTTCATGTCTTAACGCTCGTAACTGAAGCTTACGATTGAATGAAAAAAGCCTTATACACTATCTATATTGCATATATGTACTGTCAGATCGGACATGTCGCGACGCGTTTAACAGAAGCGTCGATGTTTTCGAATACATACATACATACATACATACATACATACATACATACATACATACATACATATATGTGCATACATATATGTTCATACATATATATTCATACATATATGTTCATACATATACATTCATACATATACGTTCATACATATACATTTATACATGTACTTTCGTATGTTTATACATACGTTCATACATACAAGTACATATATGATAAAGGAAGGAAAAAAGAAACACATTAACGTATTTTTATTTAAAAAATCCTTTTGCAACTACTAGTTATATATTTTCAATACATTTTGTAACGTACAATTCTTAATATGTTGTCTACATCGCATAGTATTAGCAACATACAGATTAGTTAAAGATTCCATGTCGTTGGCACAGCATGTTGTCGAGAAGACTGCGGTCGATTGCTGCGTATTGTAGATTTTATACTGTGTCGGAGATGCACTTAGGTAATTTTGCTCATATCGAATCTCATCGAATATCAATACGACGCAATTATTTCCTAATGCCACGTTAGCACCCTGGACCACTTTGTTCTTCGTCAGTTTTCCCTCGACGTACAGAAAGCTTTCGTACGGCAGTGTGTAGATCTTGTTGCTGTATGGATATTCTTATCTCGTTGTTGTACCTGAATGTTGTATTGGAGAACGGGTTATGCAAGTTTCAATCTTGATGATGCGATCGCCGAAGATCGGCTCGTCTTTAATGTTTAGGATATCAGTCATCTCAAATGTTGTGTACCGCGAATCCCAAAAACTAAAAATATAATGTTCGACACGCTGAGCTTCTTCGTCTTTTTGATGCAGCTAGATGAACGAATGTTATCGAGCTATGATGTCACCGGCCTTGTAAAAAATGTGTTATCTCTTTGCGTACGCTTCATTTCGTTCAGTATAAGCATCTCACGCTTACGTTATCACTGTCATCGTCGTAAGTGCAATCTAACGATGATCTCTTCTCCTCAAAAGCGAGCAATCGCAGTTCGACAATTCTAGTCGACAATGTATATCATTAGATCCGTAATGCTCCGTGCGATGATCGGCAAGTAAATGATCTGTGCCGGCATCTCCGATATCTTATATCCTGGCGGCACGATCGGCGAAAATTCGTGTATCGTGTGCGCGCTTTTGCTGTTGCTGTATGCGCCCGCGATCACGTTATACTCTACGCGGATAACGTTTACGTTCATTATATTAATCGACACGTCCGATTCGTCATCTTTGCAGCCGCAATATACGTTCCGACGAAAATCCCAGCAGCGATCCAATGCTGTTGGGTTTGCCAAAGTTTATTCTGTATGTACATCTAATCTCATATCTCATCGTATTATAGTTTGCGTGGAGCATAATCGGGTTCTCCACCCTCGCCATTATCGTCATCGGTGTTATTGTCACCATACTATGTCAACGGTTTCAAGCGCGTCGGATGTTTTTGTAAAATCGCGTGTTTAAAAAATTCATTTATGTCTAGTACTTCGAATGAACCCTCGAGAATTGTAATTTCCGCTTCATCTTTGGCGAAATAAAATTTGTTATTTAATTCGTTCATGTTTGGTATCGTACGATAAGTCTAAAAAATCGCCAGATCGAGCTCGTAATCTTCGTCACTCAAATCTGGCGAGCAAGTAGTCCGCCGCAAGGACAATGCTCTTCCCGCTCAACGTAAGCGTTAATGACATGATGGAAAAAGCGATCAACTAATACTAAGATTTCACAGCACCTCGTCGAGCTTTATAAATTCACGCGTGTCTATCATTTGTAAAAACCGCACATCTGTCCACAGAAGCTCTGATTGTACGTGTGATAGAACGTGCGATTGTACTCTATCGTCGTAGCATTATTTCCCGAAGATTACCGAAACTGTCAAAGTACACGACGCGGTTGTTTCTCTTTGCGTACGCTACCCAGTGAGTACCAGGCCCCATCGTCCAGATTCACGATACCGCTTTCATTTTGGCGCGCGCTACTCGTCGGTATCGTTACGCATGAAAACGCCTCTAAAATATGATACGCGCATACGTCTCGCGAGCTCGTTCAATTGCACATTGATAGTTACGCCAGACGGTTACGACAGGCATTTTTATCGTTTTGGCTTTTTTTTTCTTTGCAGTACATGACCTTCGGTATATATTGCAACTGCCCGGCGCTCAAGTCTCAAATATCGGAAGGATGACACAGCGTGAGATATTGTACATTTTGCTACTGCGCGATTCGCGGGTTTGCGCGCCTTTAAATAGTCATTCGAGAGCGCGTAACCTTTAGTGCGAGCATGAAATTCGTGCCGTTGACGATCGCGTCACACACTGTGACGCGAAATCGCGAATGATGGGAGGCAGCGCGGAGAAGCGCAAGCACGGCGAAATGCTGCCGAGTACTATACGCGCGATCATTTGCGGCCCAATTTCAATAAAACCAACGTCCTCATAAGCTTGCTCGAGAGTCCGAACGGCGTACGTTTCTCAAGAACATGTACGTCTACTCGAAATCGCTGCAACAACCAAAATATCGATATCTCGAAAATTGATTTACATCTATCGACGAAATCGGCTATTTTACATTCTCCAACAACAGCGATGTCGTTCCACTGAGCGAGGCGCGCCCAAATTCTATTTTTATCTTTGATAACGTGGTATGCGACAAGCAAAATGCGGTGAGAGAATACAATACTTCTCGATGGGCTGCCACGCAAACGTTGACTGCTTCTATCTCAGACGTACGCGAGGATACTTAATCTGACGCGACAACGCGAACCTGATCAATGATCCTGTTCAAACAGGACGGTATCAACTTGAAACACGTTTACAACAATCACGTAAATACCGACATGTCGACGATTTGTTTGTTGTGTCGCGACTGTTGGCAAAAAAAATATGGATTTTTAGTGATAGACAAGGACAGTGCGCTTAAAGACGGGAGATACCGAAAAGAATTTAATAAGTTCGCGATACCGTTACGTAACCAGTCGTTGTCGATACTTTGCCAGAGATGAACATGGTTGAGGTGCGCGAGCGTGAAAAAATTGCGAGGGAGATCGAGAAGACGAGCGAGTCGATCCACAAGAAACATAGCGCTCTGAAGACCGACAGAATCGATGAGGACATGGTGTTGAACAGGCATTTTAAATCTATTATCAAATCGCTGCGACAGATCGTTGACAGCCCCGGCATGCGTGTGATAAAGAGACAATCGCGCGATGATGACGCAGCGTCTGCTCCCAAGTGCGAGAGAAAGAAGGAGGAGGAGAAGAAGGAGGAAGAGGGACAGAAAGCGAGCGAAACGTTCGAGCATTTCGCGATCCCACGTAAATCCGATGATTTATCGCACCATTGTGTACAGCCGATAACTTTCACTCCGCGTACGACGATTGTACCCATGATAGAATCGTTGGAGAACGTTTTCCAAACGACGGACGACTTGCTAGCAATAAAGATTTAAAATTAGTTGCAAATGTCGGAAGATTGAGAGGCGTTGCAAGCCAGCTTGGGTCAAAAGTACGTCGAGGTTGTCTTGAGGGGAACGTGAGATAAACAGAAGAGCAGTATAGATAGATTATGTGTATGGTATTTACCTTCACAAGGATGGATTGATGTTTGGCAAACGTTTGGTAAACATTTCGACGTGGATGCGGACAACATAATTATCGACGGCGTACGATACGCCGGTACACCCGGTCTTTACGAGTTAATTTTCAAAAGAATTCCCAATGATCTCCTCTACATGGAAGACGATATGAACAAGTATAAGAGTTGGCGCACAAATACAAGTATCATTCGCAATGCCGATTATTGAGCAACAGGGGATACAAATACAAATTGTTGAGAGGCTAGGATCATGGATGCAGGCAATAATGACGACACTTCTTGAACGGATCGCTTTTATTAACAGAATGCACGTGATTGCTACGCTTGCTTAATAGCGAGTTACGCGCCGAAACCAACGAAAAGAAGGAAGTGACGCGTGGCAGCTTTACACGGTGGTGACGGACAAAAATGAAAATACATAGTAGCACGCCCTCGTACGAATCGGTATACATGTGGATCGTGAAGGCGCGAAATATGAATAATGCGATTTAATAACGAGATTTGAATAATGTGATTTTCTAGATGATCTTACAAAAGAAAAACATATAAGAAACAAACCAAAATATGTGGAGCAATAATTAATTCTAACGATTAATTCCAACACAAATACGTAATTGCGCCGTTGATGTCGATCATCATACCCAAGAAACAGAAGAAGAAATCTAGAAAGGGATTATTTTATGCAATGATATCGAACGATGCATCGATTATGTGCACTGGGACGATCCCAACAAGCTAGTGAATCTTCTACAATTGTTCGACACTTCGCACTGAGCGGGCAACAACGCTCATGACAACGAGATGCTATCGATCATCGATTATGAAAAAGTCGTTTCACTGTTTCACTGGAAACTTAGACATCACTAGACTCGATCGCTTCGATTCCACTTTTGAAAATTTCTGTAGGGTAACCTTGCTTACATTCAAAGTACACACGTTAATGTGCATGCTTCATTGAATATTAAACTGTGGGCAATGGTAACCACCGAGTTTTTCTTTTGCGTCGGGACATGCGTTCAACCCTTATTGATTTATTAAGGACTGACTCGCTCCGGCTCGCGATCCCGGGATCCGCTTCCTCTTCGCGGGAGGGCGCAGGCGACCAATGACACGCGAATACGATGACCGCGAGGTGGCCAATTATCGCCGATTACGGAAAAACCCGTCAGTTTCCGAGTTCGGGAACTTTCCATTTGCGTCCCTTCTTATCATATTTGGGCATGCAGATCGCGAATGCTTAAAATCGAATAGATGTGATCCTAACTAAACGGCAAACACAAATAAAAGCCTATATAT